AGGTACAAAACTTTTGACCCAATTTAACGGAAATCACTAACCCCTGTACGCGTAATTTAACAGACATGGAGATACTAATCTTTTAAATTGACTAATGTGTTCAGGATTCTTAATAAAAGTTAGGATTACATACATTTATAAATAATAGAATTTTTTTCTTAAAAACAATAAATATTATTTAAAACAATGTTAATTAAAATATATTCAAACATGGTACATTTTATTATTTACATATTATTTATTTTTAAATTAGAAGTTTTTAATTTGAAAATTGTTATCTCCCATGAGTTAAAAATTAGTTGAAGATTTACACAAGGGAGGTAATATGTTTAGTACCTCCGCCTGCTACAAAAGCAAGCCTTTTTTTCTTTTAAGGCTTCCTTAGTAAGGAGACTTATAGGAGACAAATAGTGAATTGCCTGAAGATTATAGGTTTGATTTTAGCATTAAAAAATATTAGACTGAATAGTCAATCGCTGTGTAAATGACTAAAAAATAAATTAGCAACAGTTAGATTGTCTATTAGTGGTCATTATTGGTGAAGTCAAAAGAAAACTATTTGTATGTTTTCCAGATAAGCCCTGCCAAAAAAGGTTACTTTTAGTTTTTATAAAAGAGGGTGGATTTTTGACGTGTCATTCATAGTTTTTTTTTTAAAGGTTTGTATTTCGGTACTTTTAAGTCTAACCCTTAATACTCAAGGTTGTGTGCGTGCATTAAATGATGCCTGGCAAATTTGCCACTTATCCAGAGAGAGTTGCTGAATCCTTTTTAACAGGAAGCTTTTACTTCTTGGTTGGGAGAGGCGAACACATGTTAAAGTATATAATTCTACATAAAAATTTTTTTTTCTATTTCAATCATGGCGCCCCCCCCCCCTCCCCTTAAGAAATGCTTGAGAGAACTCTGATCAACAGGGTCCAAGTTGTTAAGGTCGTCCAATAAAGTTCACAGATATTCATTTGGGAGCTTCCTTGTTGAGACTACATGTTCCCGTCAAGGCGAATATGAAGAGGGAGATCAACAGTAACAATTTTTTTTTGCAAGTTGACAATGGTAAATAAATGCAACAAAACACACTAGTATTTCCAGGGGGGGGGGGGGGGGGGGGAAGGGCAAATATCTGAAAGAAACCTTCCTTGTCTGATATTAAGTAATATAAATTGAGAACTGTTATTTTACTTAAAAATTCAAATTAACGTGTTTAATTTATTTCATAATTCTTTCCCGAATGTGAAAACGATTAAAATTGCTTTCACAATGTCATAACATTAATATTTAAAGCATGTTCAAATATCAACTTTTTATCTCTCTTTTCTTGTTTTATAAAACTGAGTTCTAAACGATTAATTGTTAAGAAACTTATGAATTCAAATCACATAGGCATTTTACAAAACTCAAAATTTAAATATAGATCATTAAGTGGAGTTGTAAAGTTATTTTATTTAACTGTTTTCTATTTTTCTAAAATAAAAAATAACAATAGAATATAAGTGTATTGTAGTTAAAATTAAGTTATGATCCATTTTTTGAGGTAAATCCTTCCAAAATATTTTAAGCAAATTTAAAAAAAAAAATTCAACTCTTACCCTTGCATAAATTTAATGCAATTCATTTCTTATTAAAACTCATCCAGAGACATTTCAAATAAATTCATCGCTCCATAATCTGATGCAGAATATTAAAATTTAACTGACACAATAGTATGCATTTCTTTATACTATAAAAAAACAATCAATACTAATGTTTACAGCATGTAACAATTTTATTGATCTGTCATGGATTGGACATCTTAATTTAAACATTTTTAACACACCTTAAAATTACAACACTAAATTTACAAAAGTCAAAATAGATTTTTTTCACATTTAAAATTCAAATAAAATGCCATAATAAATGCGGATATTTTGCTTATATAATTAAAAATTTAATTAATATTCTATTTTAAATTTTAAAAGAGGACCAATAGCAAAAATCTATATTAGGAAAAAAGTTAATTTTTTTTAATCAAAAGTTTAGGAAGTCTTGATGTACCAAAAATGAAATGATGGATTTGCATGGATTCTTGTTCAAAGGAATTGTCAGGTAAATTAGTTTTCTCCATCTCTCTCCATTGTATGGTAGTAAGAACTTTGTGTATTAATTACATTTAAAATGTGAGTAAAAGCCACACTAATTTCACTTCAAATACTATTCACTGTAAAGAATAAGGTTTTATCATCATGTATATAAAACATTGCTTCGAACCATATTTTCTAGGGTGATGTTTTGCTTTGTAAACAACAGGGTGTTAATGTTTGGTTTTCATCTTCTTTTACAATTTACATCGCTACAATCAAAATAGTGAAATAAATGTTAAAATTCTGCGTTAAAGTAATTAGAAAGTCAATTGTTGCTATAGTAATGGAAAATTTCTTTCAGGCATCTTCATCTCCCCTCCCCCCACACACACACAGTAGAAAAAAAATATAACAAATGTGGAGCTGCATGTTTACTACTATTACTAGTTTACTAAACTAGTGCAGCATTGTTTCCCTTGGTTCCTAGATCTTGTGTACTGTAAATCAAGGAGTTATCAGTGCTGATGGGTATCCGACTTAGAAAGTAAAGGCTGCTGATCATAGAGCTTTCCCTAATGTCTGTTTTGATAAAGAGAAAAAAGTCTGACACAAACAAAGGGCAGACATGAACAAAATCATGACAACAAAATCAGCAGCCTTCTGTTAGTCTGCCGTATGGTCTGTTCCATATGGTCTGTCATGTCGGCCTTAAGTCTAAGACAAGCCTTTAGTCCATGCAGCATCCCATCTTCTAACTATATAAGTATAAGTTATCTTTAAAATATTTTATGTGAATGAATATTAAGCAAACATACAGAAAAAAACTCCAGTTTTGATCAACATGTTCTAAGGTCTATCATTATATCACATACTCAACTCAAAAAAGGGAAGCAACTTTAAAACAGGCATCAATTTTTTAATCTGTAGTAGTATAACATTTAACAATGTAGTTAATGATTTTTCTTTTTTACAATTTATGTTTAAAAAGTTATTATGTGTTTATTATAATTTTAAATACATGTTAAGTTAAAATTTACAATTAGAGCTTGCAGCATACCTGCTTATTAATCAGGAAATAGTTTACCAAGTGACAAATGACATTCGGTATTCCAGCACATCTTCATGGAGAAAAAATATTTTCGTCTATGTTAAGGAAACATTAATAAACATTATTTAGAATTTTTTAAAGTTCTTTGGAATAAATGAAATTTACAATCTTACTGTAGTTTAATAATAATATCTAAATCACCCAACAATTGTTACTGACTTTTTGGAACCATTCAACACACTATGTACCCAGAACACAGACCAAAATGCATTATAAATTTTTAAAAATATTGTTTATCTTAATGAAAGTTCAAAATACTACAGTCCTTTCAAAGATATGTACACAAAAGAGGCGAAAAAAAGTAGTTAACTTACATTTAAAAGCTTGAGGGCGATATATAATTTTGAAAGGTTAACATAAATAATTAAAACTACCATTAGCCCTCAAACTCAAGAAAACAGATACAATTTTTAAAAAGGTTCAAAACAAAATTATTATAATTAACTGAGTATAGGGAATGCTATCAAAATTTAAAGTGATATTAGATTTGCCAAAATTACAAACTGTAATCATGTATGAGATACACTACCTTATTCATCTCTAAGAAAAACAATATTTCTGATTACTGCCACAAAACACCCATATTATGGGTGTAATTTTTGGAGGGGAGAATATGGTAAAAAATAAATTATGATATTGAATGTGAATCTGTAGTATGCAAGGAGAAAGGTGGAATGAGTATCTTTGGCATAAAACAAACCATTAAAAAAAATTAACAAATATTTTTTTTCTTTTGGATAATTAACTCCTGCAAAACAACAACAAAGGACACATGTTAACAGTCATTACATCAATAGTTTGAGAAACCCAAACCAACAATTGAGTTCTTTGCAGATCATAACAGTCAATTTAAAAATAGAAAGATATTGTCTTAAGGCAGTAATTCTCTGGACAAAAGGTAATGAAAAATATACAAGATATATTACAAGAGATTATCTGATTCCATTACAAAATTCTTCAAAAATTAAAACAACTTTTAAAGAGTTAATTAAACTCAAATAATGCTTAACACTGTTTGATGAATATATTAAGGAACAAAGAATATTTTTTTAAAATACAAATACAACAACTTACCCTAGGTTTTGTAAATATACAATTTAATCATTACTCTAAGTCTAATGTTTTAATATCAATTAAACTTGTCTACTAAACAACTTGAAATGTCTTCCAGGTAAATAGACATGTCAATGTTCAATCAAAGAGTATAATTATAATCAGTGTTGGAGCACTACAACGCGGGCACTATAGGTGTGAACATTTTTTTTCAATATGAAAAAGTAAATTAACCCTTTCAGCCTTTCTTGTTTTGTTTTTGATAGTACTGGCATGAGATTTACTAACTAGCTTTACAACCTGAGATATAGAGAGATTTTAACATTGAACTGCATAACTAGATTTTTTTTAAAGCTACGTGCTCATTTTTTAGGGGGGGGGGTCTGGATTTTAACAGAGTAAATAAAAATATATTACTTTTCAATTAATTATTCTGTAAAAACAACCTAGATCTATGTTTTTGGCGGAGTTATGCCCCTTCTGTTAAGGCTGAAAGGGTTAAAAGTAGATTTTTATTGAAGACATGATATGAGCAAATTATAGGTAAAATAAAATAAAACTGTGTTACATTTTGATTTGTATGATTATTTATTTCAAACTGGACAGAGGATTCTATTTAACTAGTAATTCACTTTGTTTTATGGCTATCGCTATACAAGAACCCTTCCATTTTGAGATAATCATCAAATGACAAACCAGAACAAGGATGAAAAAATGTGAAAACAAAAAAACTTCAACAGGCGATGATTATTCAACATTGAAAAGCACTGCTTCAACAACAAATCTGTAAGCATACTATGAGGTTAAATTTATTTCACACTCAAAACTAACTTAAGGTTTTACAGCTGCTTCTGTTTCTGTATAAACTGTTTGTTTCACTGTATTATTTTCCTCAACAGCATCTGTCATTTTCTGTGACAAATACTCAGGAAATTTATATGGAGGACTGTGTTTGTCACATAAATTTTGAACATCATCAAGTTGTAAAAGTCTTTTGTTACGACTAATAAAAAAGTACTTGAATGATTCATAGGTACTTATCATAATAGCACAACTTGGTGCAACTTTAATCAGTCTTGGTAGCAACCCTGGAAGAGGAACAAAAGCAAGTCAAATTGAATAAAAGTTATATGTAATATTTATCAGATAGAAATAAAAAAAAAAAACAAATAGAATAAATGCAAACATTTGTTTTTTATGAAAACTTAATGGTGGTAATGACACCACACAGGGTAATGAGCAGATGACCTTTCTCAGTAAAACACTGTTGATTCCAAAAAGGTTAAAACATGAAATTTAAACTTTGACCTTAAAAAGAAGTTCCCAAACTCAAAGGCTTTACCGATGTTTCACATTTACAAATCAGAGCATAACTGTTTCTATCTTTATGGGTTTACAGATGTGAAGTTTAAAAAAATTATATACTCAGTAAAAAATATCAGCTATAGTCTAACTAGAATTAACTTTGAATGAATTATTAAAATAAAATGACAGTAATATGATTTTTTTTAAAAATTTTAATGAAAAAAAAATACTCATCAATTTTAAACTAAAATCAATATAGAACTATGATAAAAATAATAAAGACTAGAAAAAAAACTACACAAATTTTGAATAGTTAGTGAATAAAAAGCTTTAAGCTAGACAATTAAAACTTTTTCAACTACCAGGTAAATCTGAAAATATATTATAAAGGGAAAGGACTGGATGTATTATAAGGGGAAAGGACTGGTAGTATATTCAACTATAGTGTTTGTACATTAAAAAAATATGAGTAAAGATATTCTTCCTGAGGTGACAGTGAATAGGACAAGTGAAGTAGAGTACACCTGTTTCGATGACTTCTGCATATATATCGAGATAGTGTAGTCAGTTCTATTCTCAGCAGCCTTTACCTTGCAGTTCCATTGGCTAGTTGAAACCGCTTCAGGTATAAATTAAACCAAAACTAGCATATATGTAAATAATTTGCTACTGTCTACTTATTCTTCTACATACGCTACTTACCTGTAAATAAAGCCGTAAAGCCTTCACTTGTATAAATGTTTCTAATAAGTTTCCAAGTGGATGTTGTTATCTTTGAACCTGGTTTAAAAAATTTATAGCCTAAAGTATTTATTGATTAAAAGTCTTGTATCTGATAAGTCCACTAGCAAAATCTGACTAGTCACTAAAAGCTGATTTTGTGTTGTGAAAAAAATGCTGTTATAATAAGTCATAATGTTAGATAAACATACAGATTTTCAATTTTTTACTGTTAAAAGAATAGATTGTTTGTAGATGCAGGTTTTGCCAGTTGGTTCCTTGTTTATACTTGCCCACTTCATCAAAATAAAATATGAATAAAGCTTAACAAAAAATGTACTTATTCTTTTATTTTCTATTTCAGAGATGTAACATTTGATTTTCAGTAAGTTAAAAATATAAAATGGGCATTGATTAACAAAACAAACTAACCTGATATAATAATCTCCCCCAGTTCTATCTGTCTTCTTGTTTTGATCACATCAAAAGGTAAAGTTATAACAGCAGCTATCTGAAATAAAAAGTTGGATTTGAAATTGCAATTTTTGTGAAATAAATCTTTATTGTTAAAACGAGAATAAAATAATAGTTGAAATTATTCAAGAAATAATATTGTCTTAAATATAGCTCTATATATATTTATGCATATTTTTTCACAAAACTATAGTATAATAAAAGAATCAAAATATATATTTACCGATCCTGCAATTGCACCTGCTGCAAAAGATTCTAAAAAGTTCAAATTGCTTCTCCCTTTATTACTTAAAACATACGCTTTCATTGTTTCATAGCTACCCCAGTACATTGCTGTGAATGAATTAGAAGTGAATCCAAATCAAATTTATGGCAAAAAAAAAACAAGTTTAATTGTAATCTTTATAACATTAACACACTAAAACATAAGAATATTTATCTAATTGATAGCTAACAATTTATCAAAAGACATTATAGATCTCTACTATATATTAAATGCATTAACCTCAAGGCATTAGCAAAAGTCCATCAACAAAATGCAGAAAACTAATGGAAAAAACAACTGGAGACAATATTATGATAAATAAAAACTTACCAGAAAATGGTACATCCCTTAATAATGTAGGGCCCAATCCTTTCCATAAAGTTAGAACCCCATTATTTTTAACAGTAATACCAACAGACTTCCAGATTTGTTTGTATGTAAAGTGTTCAGATTGCATCTTTGTGCGTATCATCTCAATGGGACTTATCAGAGATGCTGCCCAAACTGAGTTGTTAAAAAAAATAAAGGAAATCAAATTAAATCAACTATAAACAGCCTAAACTGTTTTATACTATAAATGAGTTTTGCACACAATATAGCAAGTATTTTTTTAATAAGAAAATAAGTAAAGTTCTTTTAACTGACCAGATCTGAAAACGATTTTTTAAGAAAAGAAAATTTATGTATGTACTGTGTGTGTTCATAATGTGAATCAAAATCTATGTCAAGTTTATCAAAATTAATTTATAAAATCAGAAACAATTTAAAACTTAGGATTTTACCTTGTTCAGACATTAATTTATTAAGTATGGGCTTAACAGATACATGGGAATGTTATGGCACCATAGTAAATAAAATCAAAGTTGTTTAAATTCTATATTACTGTATTTTTAAACAAAATAGATAATTTATAAAATAATATGAACAATGTGTGATTATTATTATTCTTTTACATGAACATTACATTCTAAGATGTGCTTTAAAACCACCTCTTGCTATAGCTCCAGCTAACATTGGTTTCCATGTATTAGGGACACGCTCATCATAGTAGCCAAGTGCTACCTTTAGTTGTTCATAGCATGTGAAATACACCACAGTAGCTGGAATTGCCATCACCCTATGAAAAAAAAGTTTTTATAACATGGGAATGGATGCTATTTAGTAATAGGGCGCTTTGTTATCACTTAAAACTATAATGGAGATAAAAAGGTCTTTATCACAAAGAAAAATATTTTCCCAAATTTTTAATATTAAATAAAGTGATACTTATTTACAAAATAAAGTAAATATGTTTAAATCGTTTATGACACATGAATCTATTTTTTATGAATGTAAAAAAATACAACATACAAAGTTGGTGGAAGCCCACTCCATAAAGAAGTAATTCCCTCATATCTTGAAATTTTAATCATTGCATCCTTTATTTGAGAGGAAAGAAAACTCATTAAAAACATCTACTAAAAATAACATGATTATAGACATATTTAAACATGCAGGAATTATCAACGGCCAACTGAAATGCTAGTTAACCATAGCAAATAAGGAGGTTCATTTCTAGACCTAACAAGTGTTCTGAGGGGCAAGTAAGCTCTTTCTGTGACTTCAGGATATTAACAGACTATTGTCAACACCATGTCAGGCTGCCTTTACTTTCCCAGACAAAACCCAGTAATCTGAAAGCCAGGCATGGCCTTGAAACTTCATACAGGTTGTAGTTGCAAACATAAACTGATACTTTCTGAAATCTTTTTGTTACCCTCACTCCCATTATAATCAAATAAGAAGTTTTAAACATGCTCATACTTACAAAGGTCCCAGTAAAATGGCTTGGCCTCTTGTACCATTCAGATGAGGGGGTCAAACCATTTACACAAGGACACAAGTGATCCATTAAACCATTACAATATACAAAGCAGTGACCTTTAGTAAAGTTGGATGGTTTAGCTTGTGACTGTAAACGTATTTTCACAACATCAAAAGGAGTCACTGAAATAAAATGGAACAATATAGGCAGCTATTTCAATGTAAAGGATACCTCCTTATAATTATATAAATAGACAATGCAGCTTTTTTACTTTTTTAAAGTCATCTTACTAGCTTATAATAACGTATCTGTGTGGTAGGTGAAAAATAACTGTTCAACTTTAATAATGAAATAAAAATAAAGAAGTATTATGAGTTTAAAAAATACAATTATTTATGTACTTAAGTATAGGCCTACAAGGATGTCAAAATTAGGTCCCTGCCAGTATGTTCATTAGCAAGGTTAAGAGCATAAATATAATAAATAACTAGAAAATCTAACTTTTCCTTGAGTCAAGGTTGAAAATTAGGATTATAAAATACATGAAAAAGTTTTGTTATGGAGTAAAGGTGAGAAAAGGGTATGGGAACCTTTACTCTGCTGTAAAAAAGAAAGAAATAATTTGTTCTCATACTTGTTAAAGATGTAAAAAATGCGCCAGTACAAGAAGAGATCATCTGCTGTGTTGGTGTTATCATCAGGCCAGACTGAGACTTCTTCAGGTCGCCAGATTTAAGTTCAGACATTTTCATTTAAGGTTTAGGGCCTTTGCAACATATATTTTACGGCATTGTTAGATCTAGAAAGAAACATTTATATTAGGTATAATTTGTACCACAAATCAATACACATATTATTTTACAAGGCCAAACTAATTCAAAGTCAGATTTAATGGAAATATCAGACAATTACATTTTAAAAAATTACAATCAGGCCTTATTCTTTTCATTAATTCAAATAATTATTTATATATATATATTGAAAAATTCACAGTGTATTGCCAGTATTGGGCATAAACAATAAACATTTATTAATAATTAGAAGTCATAGACATAACTTTTGTCACATAATTCAGTCTCAACATTTATCATAAAATTTATAACTAGGCCTATTCTAATCTGTTTCTATTATATAATTATTAATATTAAGTTTACACTCAATACACTGTGAATTTTTCAATTTATATTAGACTAGTAATTAGTAATTAGCTTTTTAGGCCTAAATATTTGAATTTATGAATATGACATGAAAAGAAAAACAAAAGTATTGCATAAGCCAAAGCATAAATAGATTATATTTAATTAGCATGTGAACTACCAAATGTTAATGTACCAATCATCCAATGCTTTCCGGTGGAACCTGCGACGGACACTGGTCTTCTATAGCATGGGGCCTTGTTTCTTGTGTCTAAAAAAAAGACATTTGTCACATTGGTTTAAGTTTAGTCATTCATTAGACAAAAGTAAAAAAAAAAAGAAAATGCATTTTTAGTATTCATTAGACTGTTAGATCTACCTCCTGTAAATCATAAGAGCAAAATAGGCATGCCTATGATTTACATTACGTGACAAGTAGATCCAGATCTAGGCCTAAGGTCTAGACTCTATATATCCAACTTGGTTGGGTTTTTTTTTTCGTTTTAACAGAAGTAAACATAGCACACACATGGAGGACGATTACACTACACGGGTCATGAACTTCGAAACCTTGACCTATTACGAAACTCATAGAAAAACCCTTAGTCACGAATTGTAATATTTAGTACGAAAATGTATTATTACAATTAGGCCTAGATTTATACTTAATTTTTAAAAATAATAGTATAACTTTTTAAATTTTGAATATTCTGTTTTTCCACCAAAATACTTTAAAATAATCAGAATTAAAGTTCGAGACTAATCTTCTTTGCGTCGGGTTGGCTCTACTTGGCGACATATATGATGTTGACGTCTTTAACAGATAAGTCAATAGTACAACTCTACCAGATTCTAGATTCTAAGTCAAACATTTTGGATTTGTGTGAAATATTTTCGTATCGTCCTTACAAGCGAAAATAACAAAATGGTTTGCGGTGGATTTGCTTGTTCACGACATTCGTTAATAGTATTAAATATTATTTACATTGTAAGTATATCTTAGGGACTTGGATGAAATTTCATTTTTTAAAAAATAAAAAATGTAGTAGCACCAGTTTATAGAGCTCATTTAGACAAGAACAAAGATACGGTAATCTATCGTTTTGGGTACGTAAAATCGCCCGCGGCTATTAATAGGGACTACGATATCCGTCAAATCTCGGGCCGGAAACTGCGCTACCGCCGCCGTATCAAACTTGAATCTGGTTTCCGTCAGGCAAAACATAGCTCACTGTATAAAGCCAGATTCTCATTTAAAAATCATTCACTTCACTCAAATCGTCATGAATATCGACCTAGGAATAATCCACCTTTCTATTGATTAAAACTTTTTCTCTTCACCATCGACGTATCTTCGAGTAATTCACACTTCTCGGACAGGTATGTATAAATATTTAATTTATTTAATATCTAAACAAGATAGTCATTTTTTTTTTAAAGATACACCTAGATTTTTGTTTTAAGTTTCTTATAAAGTCTTTATTTTGTAAATTTAACCCTCGCATGAATTAGATAATGCCTCGCGAAGTGAACATGGTCTTAAAATTTAAGCCGACGATCGGCAAATGGCGATAGTTACCTATTATCGATAATGGCCGATTTGGTTAAGAACAATGATACATATTATGTATCTATTGAAATCTCAACTAATTCAAGGCATCTGCAACTGATATTTATATTTTAACAGTGTTCAATCGTTATATTTTATTAAAAAGATAATATTTTTTTTTTTTTTCAAAATATTTAGTGTTGGACCAAAACTGAATTAGCATTTCGTTTTCTTGGAACAATATAGAAACTTGAGTGTACAAGTTAACATATTACTTTCTAGTATCATATAATAAAAAAAAGAATGCATTCAAAGCTTTTATTTCTTGTTATTTCAGTAATTCAAATGGAGTGGCCTTCCAAATCTCTTCAGGACTTGGAGCTTCTTGTTAGTTCACAGAAGGACAGAATTCTGATGGCTTTGCGCTCTACATTTTTGCCAGTAACAAGAAAAATGCACAGAAGACAGCAGCATAGGTTTTGCAATTAGGAGAACAACTAAATTATAATGCTACAACTTGTTGTAAGTCATCTTCATGCCAGAATAACTTCATGATAGGATGCTAGAGACAGGAAATTTTATCTCCTTTTTTGTAGAATGGAGGGGGCAAGGATTAAACATAAGTGGAATGTTAAAGGGGGGAGATCTGTTTTAGAAGTATAACTTTTTTAAGTTAAAGAAAAAAGTCAGCAGTAAAGTGTAGATTCACTTGGAGTAGCCTATTGGATTGCAAATAAAAGAGGAGTAGGATGACAATGTTAGCGCCTCTATTGACAGTACATTACTTATTAGTTATTAACTGATGTTGTTCAAGGCGATGTGTTATTTTGTTAGTGTTGTGGTCATAAATTACTATGTAAATTACTATGTAATTTATATTAAAATATGTTTTTATTAATACCATTAATGGAGTAATTCTTTTTTAACTAATTTTGCTGTCTATTTTTGTCTAGATTTATGTTTGGCGATATCCGAACCTTTACCGGTTGGAGAGAAATGAGTCTAAAATTACATTACAAAGCTCCAGGTTATGAGGTCCCTTAAAGGTCCCTTAAGTGACTCTTAACACATTCAGATTGTGGCATAATATTGATATTGATAACCTGTTAGATTTAGAATAATGATAAACTTGAAAAAAGTCACTTTACAGAATTAGGGGGGTTGCATCACCTCAAGGCACACATTTTGTCATACCTTTCATATTTTTACAAATATGTTAAGTTTAATTGCCTCATAACATATTAATCTTGAAACTCTGAAAATTTGAATACAAATTTCCATGTAATAGAGATTTGGCATTGGTTTATATGAAGAACACACAAAATTTGCCCGCGAAATTTACCACCAAATCCTATAGTAACTTTTAATTCAGTAAAAAAATCATAACTTTAAAACGGAATGTCCAATTTTGAAAAAGTAAACTGTTTTGTCTTAATCTGATGTAGCTCTTTAAGATGATATGCTTTTTAACCTAGGTAAATCATTTTGAAAATTTTCTCAAAGTCCCTACTATTAATGTACGAAAACGTTACCTCATTGTCAAGGCTTTAATAGAAGTATATTGTCATATTTTTGTGTCAAATATTATAGATAAATGAATAATAAACCTAAATCAATGGCTAAATATATCGATATAGGCCAGAAAATAACTTTAAACGGCAGTGTCTGAGAGCAAGATTTGCTATATAAACAGCAGCCATTTGTAAAATAGAGTGACTTCCCCCTGAATCTCCCGCTAAAAGCTTATAAAAATAAAACTTAAACAAGATGGCTGCTATAGTAAATGAGCATGGTTGCATCTGTTGGAAACATCGCTAGTCTTCATTTATTACGGAAAAGTTTTAATTCAATTGTTTAAAAACAGGTACATAAATGAAACAAGGAAACATTTTTGTATTTTAAAAAACATAAATCCTCCTCAAAATGTGAAATAATTATTAAAATTTAAGGAGTCACCTGGTGTTCACATTACAAGTCGCGGGCGATTTTACGTACCCAAAACGATAGATTACCAAAGATACTTTTATTTTAATTTTAGCTCAAACGGTTACGAAGTTATGAATTTTTAATGTATTTAATTTTCGGGTTTTTTTTACTATGGGGTTTTCTCAATTTTTTGCTTCCCTACTTTTTTGGATGCGAACTAAAATCTCTGTAACTTTTTAAATAGCAGGTATTTTTTAATGAAAATTCACTAAGATCAAGCTTATGATATCAGTAAAAGAGTAAGATAAAAATAATTGAATTGGATGAGAATGATCATAAAAAATAATGTTAACAAAGAGGGTCACCCCCCTAAAATTTTTGAATAAGCGTCTTTGATAGGCTACACTAGGGACTTGGATGACGTAGATTTTGAGGCACTAAAAACGAGAGTTTTCTGCCCATACCGAGTTTCGTCGATTTAGCCGTGCGGTCGCGGGTGATGATCGAAAAAAAATTTTTTTATTAAAAATCGCCGATGCTACTAATAATTTGATGACTGATTCTGAAAAACAAATGGATTTCATATGTTACGGTATTTTAGTTTTGAGATTTTGTTGAAGGTGAAAATGGATTTTTGGAGCCAAACTTTGGCTACGTAAAACTCTTTGTACCATAAAAACTTACTAACAAGGAAGGCCACTAAAAAGCCCTCCGACCATAATCACCATTTTTCTTTATGTGTGTAAATTTTCATAATGTTAATCGATAGCAAAGTATTTTTTTATAAATAGTTTAGAAAGTATAGCCTTAAGCCATTTTACGACTACCGGGAAAGACAAGAGGTTGAAACCGGAAGTGTACTTGTGTTGTTAATGACGCCATTGCTCTCAATTGAATTGATTTGTAAATCCAGCAACATCCACACGAATCTGACTTTAAAATCATTTTAAATTATAGAATTATATTTTATATTGATAAAACTATGATTTTTTGTTGACTTTGTGCGCATATTTTCTATTTAGATTCATTTTTTTTGTAATTTTGAGTTAGATCTAAAAATAGATTTCTGCGAAATTTTTCAAGTTGAATTATTGTTTCATTTTAATTGTATGGCCTAGATATAGATCTATATTGTTCTTGAATGAGTTCTATATTTTATATTAGCTATCATTATAGTATCTTGTGTACTTTCCACATTTTTCTTAAATTTTAAAGCTTGATATAGGCCTAGATCTTGAATCTAATATAAAATTCCATTTGCCTATCATTTGGTCTATAAATTTTCTTATAATAAGATATAGGCCTATAGGGTAATTCTATATTAAACATTTAGCCTTTTGATTGCTTTTCAAGCGAATTTTTATTACCAATATTACTAATATTCAAACATTTTAGGAGTCCTATATTTTCTTTATAGCTCTAGGACTTTGTTCATTTTAGATTTATTACTAAATTACTACAATCCTTGTACAATGTTCTGTCTTCATCTGTAGGCCTATTTGAAGTACATATGATACTACTGTATTTTTGCTGTAGTATACATCTCAGTTGCTTTTTTACTAGTCTTGGCCCTAGATAAAATGTACCAGTTCAGCAAGGGGATAGAGAATCAAAAGATGTGGATCTACTCATAAGCAACTTCAATGAAGGAGAAATAAGTCCACTTAAGAATGGATGTTGCTGGTTTTTATTACAGTTCTAAAAGCTATCAGTCAGAGGAGACACAGCTTCAGTAGATGTTTAATCAGATTTCATTTTTAAATCATTGATGGTGTTATTTTTTAAAGTAAAAAAGTGATACAAGCTAACAGACTTAAACATGTTATCCACACAGCATGAGATGTCACTTAAATATATGACAGATGTTTCTTAATTATAAAACTTACCTTTAACATTAAATGGTGATCATTACTCCACCAATAAAAAAAATCATTTCAATAATTAAATTATTTGTTCAACAATAATTTTAAATTAAATTATATCAATTCTATGATAACATACACATAACAGGGATGAAATATCATGCATATTGACAACATTTAGATACAATTTTAGTAATCTAAAATCAGTTTAGCATTGTACTTCTTTCTTGCAAAAAAGTAGTTGCGCAGAACAAAAATGACTTTTTAAATTTGACCAACATTGTAACAAAACCACATAAGCTAAGTGAAATATTTTTACTTTTTGTGGATGTATACAATGTTGGCACCAATTAGGCCAATTTTCATTAAGATATTCCATATAATAAAAATTTGGCAACAGATTATGTGTTGCCTATAGCAGAATTTATTGTTTAAAATTAAGGGGGGTATATGAGTTTAAACCCCTTTTTCATTAAATAAAATATTTTTAAAATCAAATTTGAACAAAGGAAATATCAAAGTATATAATAACCTTCATGTTTACAATATTTCTTGCATATAAGCAAAGTAATCTAAAATCAGCTCAACATTGTACTTCTTTCTTGCAAAAAAAGTAGTTGCGCAGAATAAAAATGACTTTTTTATTTAGTC